TGCCAAAGTAACCACCGCTGCTCTGCGCCCCCTTCTCCTGGAATTGCAGCTGCCAGCTCTGATGGCTCACCGCCCGCCACCGCCTCCTCGTGGATTAAAGGTGGCCACGTGAGGCCCGGGATGGGAGCCGGGGAAGGGGCGGCAGCAGAAATCACCGGGAAACGGTTGAGCAAGCTGCGTGGTGGAGGGAGTGTGGGATGGTGGGCGGACAGTGCCCACTGTCAGAAGGACTCTGACTCGAGGGAGCAGGAAGGGGGCCCCCAAATTCACCGATGCCTCCCAAGCACTGGGAGATGGCCGTGAACAGCCCTCTAACCAGAGAGAGGGAGCACTTTGGGGGTCTTCTGTCCCAGGCTGGGGAGAAACGGGCGGGAGGAAAGGCTTAGACCTCTCAGAGGGGACCCCGAAGGCATTTATGAAATGAAGGTGGCACCTACCACCCGGAGGGGTTTAGGTGCCTGCAGGGCGGCCTCCTCTGAGCCCCCTGCCAGGCTGGGGAGCCCATTTCCTGTCCTGAATGTAAGGCTGCTGAGGCCAAGAGAGGGGAAGGCGGACTCCCAGCCACCTGCCAGGTTCTCTGGGAGACTGCGGACGCCTTGCCTCGGATGCGGGATTCCCTTGGGGGATGGAGGTTCTTTCGGGGACATCAGTCCCAGAGGACAGCAGGTTCTCCTTGGGAGAGGTCTGAACATGCAGCCAAGACCTCACCAGGTCTAAAGGCAAAGGCAAAAAGGACACAGTTGAGCCGCTCCCAGAGGCTGTATTCAGCCACCCATTGGTAACGAACATTCTCCAGGATGTTCTAGGACCTGCTTCTGTCTCCTGCCTATGCTCCTTGGGGGTGGTCCCATGGCATTTTTGTGACCTGTGTGGTGAAGGAGGCACTCTTTGATGGGGGATCTTCACAGCCCCACCTGTCCTCCTCCCACAGGTAATCTGGTGTCTCCCTGATACCTGGTCCCCAGGTGTGGGGACGGCACCTATCTACTGGGACTGGATGGTGAACCATCAGGTGTTCCTACCCGCTGACATCCAGGAGGCTGGCTCCTCCACCCCCAGCACTAATCTAATCAGGAAATAGCAAAGTCCACTTTTCCCAGGGGTTATAAATAACCACAGCAGTTCAGACAGCATCATTTCTCTGGAAAATGTGCCATGTCCGTCTCTACTCCGCACCCTCCCTCCTCTGTATTTAAATGACATCCTGAAATAGACTTGATTTCTGGAGTTCTGCTGGCCTCCCGGGAGACAGGGCTGCATTGTCGGGGCGCGGAGGGGCTGGGTTGGCCTCCCTGCCTCGGGTGCCAGGGCCACACCTTCAGAGGGAAGTCGGGAATAGGATGGTGATGGGACTCACGGTAAAACATGACCGGTACTACCTTATCCAGACCTGGCCTGGGACAGACTACAACAACAGCAAACGGTGCAGGGGACAGGGTGGTAGTCTGGCAGAGCGGCGGAGGGGAAGTGAGCATTCCTGAGGCCTGGAGTTAATCTGGGAAGGCTCTCTGGAAGAAACAGGGCTTGGACTGAACCTTTGCACAGGCTTGCGAAGGTCCTGTCTCAGATGCCTCCAGGAACACGTTCAGTTGCTACTTGGCATTTGGAACAGAAGCGAGGGGGAGGGAAGGAATGAAAGAATCGCACTGGAGACGACCTGCCAGCACCCAGGTCAGCCTGTGGTGCCAGATGGTGGAAGCCTCATGTCTCTCTTCCAGATAAACACTGATCACAGCAGCTGCCTTGCTGCCAGAGGCGAGGGCGCCAGGCTGGGTGCTGTACATGAGATCTTGCAGGTCTAGCCAAGCCGAGTCAGGGAGACTTGAATTTGCGCCCCAGCTCTCACTTCCTAGACATGTGGCAGTGGGCAAACTCCTGATTCTTTTTAAGCCTCAGTGTTCTCATCTGTCGAATGGAAACAGCTAGGAGGACTTACGCCTCATGGGCTACATTATGATGATTGATTGAGATGCTGTAGGTAAGGGGTTTGTCCTGGAGCCAGACTTACAGGAAATGCTTACATGTCTGGTCAGTGTTCCTGTTTCCCATAGCAACACGGAGGCAGGTGTGGATCCCCCCCTACCGTGGGGAAACTGAGGTTCCAGGAGGTTAAGTGACCTGCCCAGATTCACACAGTTGAGTAGAAGAGTGGACATTTGGACCCAGATCGGTCTGATTCTCAGTCCTTGCACTTTCCCAGCCTGGGCTGTTGTCCACATGCCGCTTCAGGACCAACCCAGGGGGAGCTAGGGCAGGGGAGGGGCCCTAGGGGCCAGGACCATGGGATTGACCTGAGGTTTACACTGATTCCAAGGGAGACCTACAGGAGAAGGGGGTGGTCGTTGCAGAATGTGTGTCCCAAGGGCAGCAGCTGCCTCCGCCGACAGAGGGCAATGGAGATCTCTCTACTCCAGGTGGCCACTGGTGGAGCACAGGGCTGGGGACGCCCTGAGGCTCTGTGTCCAAGACCTGGCATTCTGGAGGCGAGAAAGAAGCTGTCGGGGCAGCCCGTGCCACAGGCCTTGGGACATAAAGGTTAGGGGAGGGAGGTTTCAGGGGCCCGGGAGGACTTGGCCCCGAACCTTCCAGAATAGAGGGCTGGGGCAGCAGCCATCCGGGGAGCCCCGCACTCTTCCTCTTTATGTTCGAGGAGATGCTCGGTCCTCTCCACACGACTCTCCCTCTGCCCTGTTCTCCGTTTCCTCCCTTCTCCAGGCAGAGGACTGCCAGCCAGAGGCAGGGCCTGGGCTCAGATGCACAGCCCCAGACCCTGTTGGAGGCTTAGGTGCCCCCTGTCCCCAGCGGGTGTCTGATGATAGAAGATGGGGAGAAGACTTACCAATACCTCTATACCTGTTAGAAGCCCCAGGGCCCAGCTCGCGCTGGGCGGACCCAGACTCTAGTGAGGGGCCTGTTAGAACAGGCCCTGGGGGTGGGAGTCGTCCAGGGGTAGGAGGGCAGGAGCATTCTGAGAGAACCAGCTTGCAGGTCCTCAGCTCCCATAAGTGCTGCTGCCCAGAAAGTGACTCACCAGAGAATGGCCTTACCCCACCCCTTGCTCTGCAGAGGAGCCCAGCCCCCCTGGAGAACCCTGCACAGGGCTCCCAGGGCCCCTGGTTGGCAACAGGGGGGCCCTTTAAGATGTTGATGTGGGAGTTGAGAAAGTAAAAGACTCAAAAGCCTGGGTTTCTGATCCTTTCACAAATCACATGGTTTCCAGTTTTTTGTTTCCATAAAAGTGGCAGAATTGTCAGCTGAGAGACCATTTAAAATAAATATTGATGATATGCAATTTAAAGCAAATACCGAGGAAAGAGGTTAAAGAAATGCAAACATTGCTATAATAAAACTATTTTCAAAAACAAAAGGAAAGAAAAAAAGGACTTCCCTGGTGGTCCAGGAATTAAGTCTCCATGCTTCCACTGCAGGAGGTGTGGGCTCAATCCCTGGTCCAGGAACTAGGATCCTACATGCTGTACAATGAGGCCAAAAAAACCCCAAAAAACTATTTTGAGCCCCGTCTGCTTTATGTGAGCAGATGTTTCATCTTTTACATCTTTAAAAACCAAACCAAAAAAATAAAAGTAATGATGCTGAAACCCCATTTCACCCTAGCAAAAAATAATATTCATTTACATACATGAACTAAAACAGACAAAGCACTCTACCCAATCTCATTAAGAGATGTAGTTCCACCAAAATGGTACTTTGCTGCTGAATGTTTATTAAAATTTTTAATATGTTGGTTAAATTTTTTATTACATACTGCTAATCATTGTAATAGTGAATCCAGAATATGTTTTGAACATTTGGAGCCTTGTGGTCTCAGGAAATTTTTCATTTCTATTTACACAGATGTTTTCGTTGAAGCAAAATAGAATAGGGTGAAGAATAAACGACTTTAAAAAAAAAAACACAAATGAGGGCATAATTCTTTGGGTGAAATAGTCTAGAAACACAAAATCAAGGAGAAAAAAGGAATGTTACAGGTTTCTACAAGGGAAAGAAGAACTTGTTTATGTGTTTTTTAAATGGTTGATGGTGGGGATCAAATCACTATGGAATTTGGATTCCACTGAATACGTTTAAGAGAATGATATAACAGTTTTGTTTCAAGATGTAAATATTTACATTATTCTGGAAATTATGTTCTTTGCAGCTATTTAAACTTGATTTGGAAATATTCAGATGTTGACTTAAAAATGTGCTAGGGTGTACATTGTTTTTCCAAGTCACTTTATGGATGCACAAGGAAAAACAGTTCGAAGGCCCCTGAGCCCGAGGAACGAGTCCTGTTTGGTCACCTGTGAGGGATACCTCTGGGCCTCCCCTGCCATCTCCAACTCCCTGGGGCTCCTGCGCAGTTTGGGGGCCCCCTCTACAGCGTGTTTGCTTCCTGGGAGACCAGCCACTTACCTGTTATCTCAATGAGTCTTCACAGCAATCCAGCAAGGCAGGGTCTTTACTGGCAATGAACAGACTGAACAAATGAGGTTTAGCAAGGTTAGAAACTTCCCAAGGTCACCTGGCCAGAAGTGGCTGAGCTGGGATTCTGACCCAGGGCTCTTCTTGACTTCTGCGTGGCACCACCTCCTGTTCACGACCAGGTACATGGGCTGCGCCTGCAGTGTACCTGACTCCAATTCAGGCAGTTGAGCAAGTTGCTGAGAGAGTGTGAGTCTTAGTTTGTGCATCCGTGAAATGGGGTCCTAGTACGCCTCTCACAGGGCAGGGTCAGGAGTGAATGAGAGGTGATGGACGAACGTGTCTTCAGAGCGCACCCTACCTCCCTCCCAGAGTGGGGGGCACCCTTCACTAACGGGGCAGGAAGGACCTGGGGCGTGGAGGTCCTGAAGGACTGATGTCAAGATGAGCATCAGCCCCCAGCTCCGTCTTCCTGAACTTTGACCAGCGTCTGAGCCTGAGCAGCGGGGGGAGCTCTGGTTTGGTCTCTGCTGTCACCTCTTTCTCTCACCTTCTCTTTCTTTCTTTCTCTGCAGCTGGATCCACAGACTGTAGAAACCAAGAACTGGCACACGGATGTGATTGAGATGAATGGGGTGAGCCGGGAGCGACAGAAGTGTCTGCGCAGTGGGTGGGCAGCCCGGCCTCTGGCTGGTGCCCTGGGGCGCTGTCCCTCCCCCAACCCACCCACCCCCTGCTCCCTTCATCCAGCCCCTCCCCCCTCTCCTCTGCCTGCACCCTTCCCATTCCCACCCTGTGAGTGCTTCAGGGAGCCCCCCGGGTGCAGTCCTGGTGTGCCCCCTGTGTTTTGGGGGGCACTCACGCCCTGGGGGGGTGTGCCTGCCTTGCCCCCAAGCAGATCAAAGTGGAATTCTCCATGAAATTCACCAGCCGAGACATGAGCCTGAAGAGGACCCCCTCCAAAAAGCAGAGCGGCGTCTTCGGTGTGAAGATCAGCGTGGTGACCAAGTAGGTACTGCGTCTGGGGTCCCTGCCAGCCCCGCCCTCCAGGGCCCCCACTCATGTCTGTCACCCCAGCAATCACCCTCCACTTCATTAGTCACAGCGGCCACTCGGATGGGCAAAAGTGGCCGGCAGAGGGGTGTTCCCTGCCTCACACAATGCTTTGGAAATAAATGAGCCAGCACTTAACCACTGGGAGATTACATGTGAAAATCCCAGATCCTCAGCATCCTGTAATAAATGGGGAGATGTGACAGCTGTATGTCTGTGTCTTGGTGTGGCAGCGGCCGGCTGGAATCCAGAAGTGGCTGCCCCCAGGAAAAGGCATCCTTCAGCCCCCTCCCCTCTTGTCTCCAGGGTCTGGCCCACCCTGCTCTGTAGGTGATCCACTGGGTCCCCCGTAGCATTTAAATGTGAGCCCTCTGTTCTGAGGAATGCTCTTACTTCAGTCTCTGATCTCCTAAAACTTCCCGCCTTTGTCCCCTGCGACCCCTCAACACCCAGGCCTGGGGTGGGCTGTGTGTTGGGGGGTGGGGTAGCATGGCCTCTTTCTCAGCCCTGTCCTTGTCCCCCATCTCCTGATCCCAGAGACCAAAATGCTGCAAGGCCACGGTTTGCAGAGAGGGAGGGGCTACATGTAGGGATCACTGGGGGCCCCCTTCCCCTCCCTCCCCTCACATCCCCTACCCCAACCCCAGGCGGGAGCGCTCCAAGGTGCCCTACATCGTGCGGCAGTGTGTGGAGGAAGTGGAGAAGCGGGGCATCGAGGAGGTTGGCATCTACCGGATATCAGGGGTGGCCACAGACATCCAGGCGCTGAAGGCCGTCTTCGATGCCAGTGAGTCTGGGAGGCCCAGCCGGGCGGCTGCTGGGAGGGGCGCTCCAGCAGGCTCCTCGGGCTGGTGGGAGAGCTTAGCAGAAGCAGGAGGCTCCTCCATGGAAAGGCCCTGACCTGCCGGTGGCAGAGGAGCCTTGGACTGTGCGCTCCGGCCCGGCATGGCATGGGGTGGGCCATTGCTGAGTCCTTGTGACACGGGCCTGCCCTGCATTTTCTCATGTAATCCGTTGCCCTCCAGTCTTGCCTCCGTTGCTACAGATAAGGAAGCAGAGCCTCAGAGAGGCCAAGTACTTTGCCCAGGATTACTCAGTTCATAAGCTTTGAGCCTGATTTAAACTCGGATCTTGCTGACTCCAGAGTCTGTGTTCCTGGCTTTCTTGCTGGCCTCCCGGGCTGCAGGGAAACTAAAGAGCTTTGAGCCCGGCTGGCTCCCGCACCCCCGCCTTCTCCGGGTACCCTTTGGGAGGGGTGCTGCTGCCTCTCACTTTGACTGAGCCCCTTGGTCAGGGCCTGACCTTTCTGGTTCTTTACCCCATCTCGCCGTTCAGGCTGCAGCAACAACATTGCTAGCAGGACCCCTGAACTGGCTGGGCAATGCTGATCCTATGGGAGCTGAGAGGGGGCCTGGTGGGTGTCCCCAGGCAGCTGCAAAGCAGACGTGTTCAGGGAACCTGGGGGTGGGGGGGAGCTGGGGACAGGCTGGCACATGGCTCCTCTATGCCACCTGGAAGCTGAGGCTTTGTCAGAACATGATTTTAGGTATAAAAATGCACAGTGCCTTCCAGAGAGGGGCTTAGCGGTGGGGAGACTGCAGTAGGAAGGAGGGCATGTGACACGTGTGAATGTGGCTCCAGGACTCTGGATGACGAACTGTGCTTCCCTCCCCTTCTCCCCCACGGAGCTGAGTCACAGACCACCTGTGGGCACTACCTACATCCCGCCTTTGCTGGGGAGACCAGACCAGGGACAGAGTGGGTTGGGGGTGCATGCCCAGAGCAGGCTGCCTCAGGATGGATGCGGGGACAGATCGGGGCTCCCTGCCCTGCTGAGGGCTGCATGGGGGAGGGAGGGGGCTCAGCCAGCACAGCCCCTGCCCTCCCACCCCCCCACAGATAACAAGGACATCCTGCTGATGCTGAGCGACATGGACATCAATGCCATCGCCGGTACCCTCAAGCTCTACTTCCGGGAGCTGCCCGAGCCCCTCCTCACAGACCGACTGTACCCCGCCTTCATGGAGGGCATCGGTGAGCGGCGGCGGGGGTCTAAGGGCTGGGCTGAGCTGGGCCTCCCCGATCAGAAGAGAGCATGAGATGTCTTTGCCCACCCGCCCACCCCCGACTTGGCGTGTCCATCTGCCCTGTGCCTTGGGCCCACATGGCCTGCTGGGGCCCGATCCAGAGGCTGGGCCCACTTTTCCCCTGCCCATCTCTCCTCTTGTCCCTCGGGGCTGCACTCTGTGCTTCCTCCTTGGACACTGACGACCTTGTTTAGAAACCCCAGGACCAGGGAAATCTGCCCTGAGGGTGCGGGGTCCAGGACCAAGGAGAAGTGAGCCTGGAGTGCACTTGACGTGGCTTGTACTGAGCCCTCCAGAAGGAGTGTGCGCTCTTCTCTGACCGATGCCCAGGGTTGGGAGGAAGCTGAGGGCCCCGCCTGGCAGGACTGCGGCCTCCCCCCAACCTGGGCCAGATCCAGGCCTGGGCGCATCCCTCCTGCCTCGCCTTCTCCTGGGCCAGTCAGTGGAATGAGGAGCCCGTGGAAGGCGGGCCGCTGCCAGGCTCCAGCGTCAGAAGTGCTTAAAAAGAGAACAGTTAGGGAATTAATTCCCTAGTGGTCCAGTGGTTAGGACTCCGTGCCCCTCACTGCCCAGGGCCTGGTTTCCATCCCTGGTTGGAGAACCAAGATCCCGCAAGCCAAGTGGCGCAGCCAAAAAAAAAAAGAACATTCACGCCAGTGGCATCCTTGTATCCTTACAGACCAGGGATGGAGTGGCTCCATCCCCAGAGGCCCACACTGTGCAGGGAAGAAGGGTGTCTGCTCCCCACCTGCCCACCTCCTGGCTGGGTTCTAGGTCATGGGTGGGGCCTTCTGCAGAAACCCTTGGGAAAATACCAGCCCCATCCCTGCTGGGTCTGTCCCCTGACCCCTTGCAGCCCAGGCTTCCCCCCCAGGGTCCCGCAGCCTCCTGACCCCAGGGTGCTGGCCAAGGCCTCCCCGCCCAGAGCCCGGCCCCTTGTGTGCCTACAGCCCTGTCAGACCCTGCTGCCAAGGAGAACTGCATGATGCATCTGCTCCGCTCCCTGCCCGACCCCAACCTCATCACCTTCCTCTTCCTGCTGGAACACTTGAAAAGGTAACGGGCAGGGGCCCTGCCCCGTCCGCCGGGGGAGTGGGGAGGGGGTGGACTCCAGCTAGGCAGGACACATGCCCTGGGAACCCACGTCCTGGGCGCCTCCTCATGGGTGCGGGTCTCTGCTGGACCCCTGCCGCCAGGTGAGAGTTTGCCCTTCAGATTCTTGGCATTCACATTCTTCTGTTTCGAGAAATATTTGGATCCCAGAGGCCACCTCAAATACTGGCCATAGAACACTTAGAGAGGCAAGGCTAGAGCCAAGGACTGTAGGTAGAGTTTCCAGTCAGTGGGCCACTCAGCCACTTAGCATTTTTTAAACAGAGTAGGAGAGCCCGCCCCAGGGTACACTGCAAACGGCAAGCATGCATATTGTTCAGTTACTCTTGTTGCATGTGCTGGGTGATAGTGTAAAACTTGTGTGTTATTACGGGTCACAGTCCAAAAAATCTGAAGCCCACTGGTCTTGACCCACACCTCATCAAACAGGTAGGGAATCTGAGTCCCCAGCTCGATGGGGACTTGCTTGGGTTTACCAGTAGCTCTGCCCTTAGAGTCCACATCGCCCAGATCCTAAACTATGGTTCATCCCACCTTCTGCTCTGCTCCTTCCATAGTCTGGTCAAACCAAGAGCTGCTAAAGTTAACACCTGCACCTAAATTAGGAACGGAAGCTAGCCCTGACTGTGACCTCGTCACTCACTTTGGAGCCCAGGACTGGTCCCAGGTGTGAGTGGGGAGGAGACGTCCCCAGGCGTCCCTTAAATCCACTTGCCATCCAGGACCAGGGCACCCCCGATGAGGGGCTTTGAGTCCTCAGGCCCCCAGTGGCGGCTCGGCCAGGCCAGGCCAGGCTCTGGAGGGCCAGCAGAGACCTGGGAACGCCTGGGCTGCTGTCCTGTTTTTCCCATTATGAGACATTTTCCCTCTGGTTTGGCCGGGACCAAGGTCCCAACCAATCCCCAAATAGTTTGGCGAGCACTGTGGGGAGGACACACAGAGGAGGAGTGGGGAGGAAAATTCATTAGGTTTTCCACCCTGGGAACCGGGCACAGTCTGTTCCCACATCTGGGCGCCTGGCGTGTGTATGTGTGTATATGTGTGTGTGTGGTGAGGGGCAGGGCCAGCTGCAGAGCTCCTGGCATGGCAGTGTTTGCTCATTTCCAAGGCACTCAGCAGGCACATCCACGGCTCCTGCCTGGAGGGTGTGGTGACGGTGCAGTGGGAGTTGGGGTGAGAGGCGCTGCTTGGGGCGGCTGGGTCTCAGCCCCAAAACATTGCCTGGGACTGGGGGGAGGCGCAGTCTCTGATGTGTTGGGTGGTACCGAACCTGCTGGACACCAGCCCCAGATGGCAGTGCCTGCTGTCACTCGGGAAATAAGCCACAGAGCATCTGGCTGATCATGCAAGAGAAGCACAGGAAGACCCAGGAGGCAGCTCTGGGATCCCAAGCGGCAGACCCTTCTGGAAAAGCTTGGGAGGACAGCCCCTGGGCTCCATCTGGGACGAGGGATGTTCCTGCCACAGCACAGCAGGCAGAGCCTCTGGCCTTGGGCCCCCGCCCACTGGGACGCCTCCTCTGGGCCCCTCTCCATGGCTGGGCTGATCGTGGACAGCACACAGGGTGGGGAAGAGCCTGGGCTCTGGAGGCAGACCTGCTGGGTTTGGATCCTGGCTCTGCCACCTGCTGGGTCACCTTGGGCAGGCCATTTGGCCTCTCGGTACTCCGGTTTCTTCATCTCTACAGTGGGGATGAAACTGTTACCTACCCAAAAGCTTGCTTGTGACAAGCATGAGTTATTACAGGGAAAGTTCTTGGACCTGTAATAGTCTCTCTGAGGCAAGGGAGATTTGGAGTGGGTCCTTCTCGCTCTCGCAGTTTGCCATCAGTTCAGGAGGTGGCCCAGGAGCTGGGAATCTGTCAGTGGAATGTTCTGAAACATAGCTGGGAACTTGGGCCCTTGGCTGAGTCCCCTCCTCACAGAGCGGTCTCTACCCTCAGGACAGGGCGGGCTAGTGACCCCTTTGGGGAATCCTCCCAGGAGCGGTATTAGCCAAGGGTCTGGAGCTCCACGTGGCGGCCAGACGTGACTTGTTTCCGCCCCTCCCATCCCTTTCAGGGTTGCTGAGAAGGAGCCCATCAACAAAATGTCCCTTCACAACCTGGCCACCGTGTTTGGCCCCACATTACTGAGACCCTCGGAAGTGGAGAGCAAAGCACACCTCACGTCGGCCGCCGACATCTGGTCCCACGACGTCATGGCACAGGTACCCCCACACTGCGCGGGCCTGCGGCAGGTGCCAGGGTCGGACGAGCCCCTCCCTGAGGGGTGGGCTCCCATCCGCCTCCCATCCGCCTCCCATCCGAGCAGCGGGGCTGACAGGTCTGTGGGATGCCACCAAGGAGTAGGGCTCTGGACAGTCCTGCTGAAAAGTAGGCATCTGGACCAAGAGCCCAGAGGATGGGTGTCCCAGGTACTGGTTGCAGTCTTGGGAGCTGCCTGGGCCTTGGGAAGCAAACCCAGGGGTGTCAGGAAAATCTGGGGCCTTGCCCTCATGCGTGGCTGGTCAGGAAGCTTCCCTGGGAGTCCAGTGAGACCCAGGGCAGGGTCTGGTCTGGAGCTGGACTGAAGTTGGGGAAGTGGCCCTGGGTGCCCCACCCTCTGCCCTGCAGCACCCCCTGCTGCTGCAAACTGGCAGCCACACCTGGGCTTCCAGGGATGGGGGAGTGGCTGGAGCCAGCCTGAGGGGAAGCGGGGAGCCACAGGAGCCCAGTCCAGAGAGCGTGTCAGTGGGTCGGAGGAGGCCCTCCGGGGTGAGGACCCCAGCCTCAGTCTCCCCTGTCTCCCCACAGGTCCAGGTCCTCCTCTACTACCTGCAGCACCCTCCCATCTCCTTCGCAGAACTGAAGCGGAACACACTGTACTTCTCCACCGATGTGTAGCCCGAGGTGGGAGCGGCTGTCGGGGGGGCGGCCCCAAGCCAGCCTCTCCAGCCGGGGACCCAACCCAGACTTGAAGGACTGCAATAGAGAACTCCCAAACCCAGCGCTCCACACTCCAAGGGACAGAGATTTCCAAGAACTGGAAGACGTGTATCTTTTGTGCCACCTTGTACAAAGCCAGCCGACCCGGCCCCGGCCCCGCCACGCACCCCGGCTCTGCCCTGCGTTCCTCTAGTCGTGTCTGATGCTCCGTGCTGTTCGGGAATTGTTTTACGTCTATTTGTCATGCAGAAAAGGTAGTGACCGACCCGGTGTGGGCACACAGGCAGCCTGCTTTGTTCTTTCATTTCCTCCAACACTTTCTTTCCTCCTGAGTCCGGTCCAAGGGCTTTTATTCTGCGCTCTGTAACTGTTGCCAGCTTCGCCTCTCTTGGCCCTGCTCCCAGATTGCAGTCTCCTGGCGGCCTCCCCTCCGTCTTCCTCCACCCTGTCCTCCCCGCCTCCCCCAGCCTGCCTGCATGCATTTGCAGCTTTGGTTTTTGATCCATCACCTCGAAAGTTCTGAGGAGGCCCTGGGCAGCGGTGGCGGGGGCTGGCCGGTCCGATGCTGCCGCCCCCAACCCTCTCCTTGCCCCCCTCACCTGTGGAGGCACGCCTGTCTGCCTTGCCACCTGTGCAAATGTGGACAAGGAGACACTCTCGCACTGATCCTCGGCTCTGCACAGGCTGGAGAGTGGATTGCTGGGATTTTCCACCTGAGAACCTCCATTTCTGGGGTTTATCTGTTCGTCTCCAGTCCCAGTGAGGCACCTTTGACTGTTTCTTCTACTGCTTTTCAGTTTCTTTTCTCCTGCTGTTCTATTTTCTTTTGAGTGTAGAGACTCACCAGAGACCTGCTATCAAGGCAGCCAGAGGGTCAGGAAAGAATCAGGGAGGTGGGAGGGTCAGGCTGCCAAGGAGACAGAGTGGGCTGTTGAGAGGAGCGCCAGGGAGCGCTGGGCATCCTGGGCTGGGAGCAAGGAGTTGTGGTGGCTTTGCTGGTGGAGCCAGGCTTCTGGGAGGGCAACCACGAGGGCTGAAGCAGGTGTCTCGAAACAGGCAGGCTCCGTCCGAGAGGGCTAGCCCTTCCTGGTGCCTCCCGTACCTCGTGGTACCTTTGCCTTAGACGTTACACACTTTCTCCACAGCCAAGCACTGCCACGGGGCAGCCCCCACGGCCACGTGCGCCCCAGGGCCTGGGGAAGTCAGGTGCGGTCCAGCAGTAGCCAGCCGTCATGGTGCTGCCTCCCCCCACCCGGCTTCTGAACGCAGCCTTGTGGGTGAACTCGGGGGAACTCCAGGAGTTGGGGTGTGCCAGGTACCTGCCTCTCTCGGGACTGGGTTTTGCAGGGGACCCTGGTGGTGGATGCTTGACTCATCCGCAGGGTATGATCCCCGCGTTGAGGGCCGCTGCTCAGTACTGGGAAGGAGTGAGAAGTGCCCCCAAAGTGCAGTTTCTTCTCTCCTGAGCAGCACTGCTGGCCTCCAGCAGTTCAGACACTCCTGGCGGCAGGGGCTGGAGCTACAGTCCACGGTTCCTTGGCTCTCCTCTGTGTCAGAGACTAGATTCCAAGCCCTGGGGGTTGGAGAGAAGAGCTCCCCCTAGCTTGAGCTCAGGGCGGTTTTAAAGAAGGATCTGGGGCCCCTGAAGCCTTAGCACCGGCTCAGTGAGAGGAAGGGCCCCTTCTTGTCTCGTTTACACCTGTGGCCTGGGCGTGAGCAGAACGGTACACATTCTGTGCACATCAGAGGATAGATGCCCCAGAGGAGAGAGGAACTGACGCCCTGGCTGCCTGCTAAGCAGCTGAAGAGCCCCACTCCCTAAGATAATGGGCTTGGGCCACAGGTGGAAAAAGAATGCTGGAGTCTGAACATCCCCCGTGTCTGACCATCCCTGGAGCCTGCTTGGCACTTGGGAGCTGGCAGGTGGCCTGGAAGGTTCTTGCTTCCGTGGCCACTAACTGGAATGAATTGGAGCCCCACCTAGAGCTATTTACAGCCCCTAATGGGTGCCTCCTGCCTTCCCCAAACCAGGGACGTGTGCCTCTCAGCATCAGGTAGCTACTGCAGCCCCCAACCTCTTAGGTAATGAGAATGGGAGGAAGGCTGGAAGGGCTGAGAAATGGAAAAGGCTCAGAATATTTATCAACTCGACCCCCAGAATCAGGAGGGGTGGGTACCAGACCTGGACTAAGCTGCGCTGAGGGAACAGCCTGTGGGTTCTCCTGAGAGACAGGGACTGTACAGAACCCCAGCCACTGTGCCCAGCAGGGCAGGCTGTGCCAACAGGAGCCCACAGACAGGCTACAGGAATCCACACACCTGTCCTTGCTGGCAATGGCTGCGGGCTGCCGGTGTTGTGCTGTTACAGGTATGATGGGACCCTTCATTAATATTTGACTTTCATAAGTTGGTAAGGATATATTTTTCTTTGGTCTATGTTCTGTTTCAACTTATGTAGATTATTATAAATTGATGTAAGCCACGTGAGAGGAAAATGTTAATAAAAAAAAAAAAACCTGCAAAGCCCTGACATTTGCACACAACTCGGCCCTGTGGTGTGGACGTTTGTGTTCTCAGGAGTCCAGGGAAGACCACCAATCTAGATATTTAACTCTTCCAACTGCATCCAGATGTGTTTCCAAGAATCTTCTTACCAGTGAACTCCCCTTTGTGCACCCCTTCGGCCATGGCAGTTTGGGAGGTGAGCCCACGCTCTCTCCTTGTTCTTTCACAAATGCCCACAGCTGTCACCAGCCAGTTCTTTTCATGAAATACAAGTGCCCCACCAGAGACCTGGCCATCAATATGCATCAGAGATGGCAGGAAGTTGTCTATTTAAGTGGAGGTTTATTTTATGCAAACATCTCTCTACAATTTCCTTGGAAGTTGCAGGTCTTTGGGGCAGCCTGCTGGCCTAATCTCTGTGTTGAAGATGCTGGATCCCCTAGAGGGCCCAGCCTCCCTCAGGAGAGCTAGCGGGGTTAATGTCGGCTCCCACCAGCCCCAGCCATTGGACACTGTGTTTATTCTGGAGATCGGGAACAGATGTCTCTGAAAATTGGTGTTTGGTTTATGAGCTCATACTGCCTCCTTAGCCATCTAAAACAGGAAACTATTCATCTCCTCTCCTGACTGAATAGTCAGTGTGGACAATGCTTGGCTTATTGAACTGATGGCTACTGACAGCCCAGGACTCGTCATTCCCAAGGCAGTCATGAGGGGTGCAGTGCTTGTACTTGGTCGTTTGACCCCATGCGCTAGACTGGATGGTAGACGCTAGACTGGATGGTAGATGCCAGGTTTCTGGCACTGTTGACAGGTGGCAGGTAAGAGTGTCTGCGCTTGCTCTAACTGCTTACAGGTGACTTGCTGAGCGACAGTGGAGGACCCACTCCAACATCTGTTCTCAGACCTGTGAGGATTCTCCAGGCAGCCTACCAGCAGTGACGCCTCTTGACCGAGACTGGGACAGGCATTCTATAGAACTCCCCCCCGAGATGAGCATTAGCCTTGTGCACTAGCCCATGGTCATTCCAAAGGCAACAGCAGACAAGGCCAGAGGAAGGTGTTACCAACTGGGCTTGACATCGTCACTCATGTATACACACACACACACCAGCTGGACTTGACATCATCACTCATGTACACACACACACACACACACACACACACACACACACACACACACGATGTCTGGATGGTTCAGCTGAGTCTGAATTCTGGTTAAGGGTGAGCAAGCTTTAGAAGACGGCCCACAGTGGGGGAGACAGCCAAAAAAGGCAAAGGAATGACTCTAGTGGAATAAAGGAGACACTACCGGTGGCTGGAATTACAGGCCCCCACCATGCTACCTGCTTGTCCTAAGTTCATCTTCATCCCACCACCAAGGCACCAGAGTAACACAGCATCTGCAGCAGATCCCGATTGTAAAAGGGTTTTTATGTGTATAGCACACAATTAGGCTGAGCTGCTACTGTCAGAGAAAGGCTACCAGGTCAAGTCAAAAACACTAATGTTTAAGGAACAAACCCCTGACATCAGAAGAACAGGGTGGTGGTGAGCAGCTCCTGAACACGGTCTGGTTGTAACCAGTGGCTGCTGGGACCTGGTCGTCAGGAGGACCACAGCAACACAACCCTCACACTCTGTGTCCTTGAGGCGGGCCTGGGCCAACAGTCACAGCAGAACACCCACGTATGGTTCAGACCGCAGGCATTCCCACCAGCCAGCCCGACGGTTTCTCAGAAGAGGCCAGCAGGGTTACGCGTGGAATGTCACTGCATCCTAGGACACGGTTAGGCCAGGTTTCTGGGCCACTGCAGCAATCTCAGTGAGGATAACACTGCTCTGCAGACCCTGGGAGTTGAGCATTCCCAGACTTCTCAGGAGCTGGCTCATGCTTTCCCTTTGGATGTTCAATCTTTGGGCCACCTGGTACTATTTTGGGGAGTTGTGGAATTTGAAAATAAAAATAAGCCAAACTTTTAAACTGTAATATAAATATACATACATACATACATACATACATACATACACACATACACACATACATATATATGTGTGTGTGTATATATATATAAAACAAGGATAGCAGAACATTAAACAAAATGAGCAGAACACTAAACAAAACGACAGAACTGGTCAGACAGCATGATTCCACTCTGCCCTGCCCTGAGGTATGAGATGGATGACCGCGTTGACGTACAAGGTAGAAGAGCTTCCAGGTGTGTGTAAAGTCCCCTCCATCCCCACAGCACCAGAGCCTGTGGACTGAACCTTTGTGGAACTCAGTTCCTACAGGTCAACACACTGACTCTTTGACTGCCCAAAACAGAGAGTCTGGCATGGCACTCCACCCCGCACAGCCTGGCTCGAGTCCAGGTGCAGAGAGCACGGCTGCTCAGAGGTGGCTGATTGCAGCCAGGCGGCTCCCTCACGACACCAACTATGTGAGAGAAAACAAATGTCTTCAGTCTCTGAAGCAAGTGCCCTGGAGTGGCGCAGAAACCGCCCTACACAGAGCAGCCTTGATCCTGGGCTGCCATTGTCCTTGCCGGACACCAGTGTTCTCACCGTAGGTAATAGTCAATCGCAGCAGAGAAAGCAGCAAAACCTCCACAGCCGATGACCCCAGCCTTCAAGCCAGCTGTAAAGCAAACACAAATGACATTACCTGTGGTGAAAGACGCTGAGTCAAGCCGCACTCAGGAAAAGTTCGGGTACTCAGAGACGTAAAGAAGCTGGCGAACAAGTTCTCAATCATTCAACGTAGCAGAGAGCTGGAAGGCTTCAGTGAGGCTGTGCACACGAGCTGATCCAGTGTGCTTTTATCTAACTGTATGTTCATTTAACTTTTCTCATTCCAAAGAACTGCTATTTCTAGTCTCATGAAAATAGCTCCTCACAGGCAGGAAACTGGTTAACAGAACCAGCCCTTGGAATCAAGTGAAAGCATATGGCCTGTTACTCTGATTTGTTTATGGAATAAATTCCCGGGAAGGTGATCAAAGAAATCCCAGAGGGAGCTGAGCCTCTCAAAGGCCCTGACAAAGCTGAGAGATGGGAAGACCAAAGGAGAAGTTACTCCATAAATCACAAATGGCTGTGTGAGGAGGAGAGTCAGGTTTTAATGACAGCAAAGCATCCTGTCTCTCAGAAAATGAGAAAACAGCCTTTTTGCTTTGGGTAAGTCTGGGCACAGCAGATGGAGAGTGGCCCAGTAATAGACACTGTTAGGGAAGTTAAGTCACTGACGCCCCGCCGCACACTCTTGATAGATACACCAACAGGGAGAAGTGGCAGGGAACCAGTTTTCTTCTTGGTTGCTTACAGTGGCTAATCCAACATTTCTAGGATACCTATATTTGGCTTTCAGGAGTGGAAATCTAAGAACCCTAAACTGCAAAAACATTACTGTGAGAACTTATACATAGAATTAAAATGACTGCACAGTATGAAGAAAGATGTCTGTTTGAAATGCATAAGAGCTGAAAGTTAAGCAGAGCTTGCTGTTTGGGCAAATGGGTTTCCCACGGCTGAATGGGGTCCAGCTATGCTTCTGTACTATCCTGCATAGCAACACAGTCCAGAGATTACTTATTATTATGAAGTTCTTCCCATTTGTTCAATATGGGGACCGTTCTTTATTCTAAGATAGAAATAGTTCTCCGTGGGTTTGACCTGGGGCTATTTGTCCCCCGGGGGACACTGGAAACACTTCTGCTTGTCACCACTAGGGGTGCTACTGGCACCGAGTGGGGAGAGGCCAGGCATTCCCCTCCGCCCAGCAAACACTCCTCTGGTCCAAAACGTCAACAATGCCAAGGATCAGAAACCCTAATCTAGATACTAGAAGTTTCCAAAATTGAGTTAACACAGAAAATGTGATTTACTTGTCAGGAGAGGAGAATATCAAGTTCCACATATGCCTTGAGCTGTCCTTGGAACACTCATGTGTTTGGAAATGTCAACTTCAGCATGTTGTCCAAGGCCACAAAGAAAAGCATGTGAGAATTGTTTACTAACCTCTGAAACCAATGGCTCCTCCAGTGATGCAGCCACTAATGACACTGTTCTTCCAATCTGATTTTCCCCGATACTGTGGGTGGAGAAGAGCAGTTCAGAGCCAAAGAAACAAGCCAAACAAGAAAACTAAGGAAAAAAAGACAGGGTTTCTAGCTGGCTAATTTAGTCCCTCCCCAAAAGAAACCTATCTTGTTTTCTTTCAAAAGTATAATTCCTAAAATTTGAATGAACACACAAATGCTTCCTGCACATGGTACCAAAGCACTGAGCCAAGTGTCACATTTGAGAAGTAATCAGAACCTCTTCTCAGGTTCCCCAACAAGTCTCTTGTTTAAAATTAATAACCAGGAATTCTCTGGTGATCCAATCATTAGGACCCCATGCTTGCTTCCACTGCAAGGGGCCCGGGTTCCACCCCTGGTTGGGGAACTAAGATCCTACAAGCCGCGAGGTGCAGCCAAAAGCAATAATAAAAAAATAATTAACCAACTTCTGGCCTGTAAAAAAAAAAATAAATAATAAGGCAAGCCCAAATCATAAATTCACAAGAAGTTTACATTAGGGACTATTTAATGGAAACTGAATCTAGCAAGTACTGGACAATTCTGACCTGCTTTCTAGTAGCATTGAGTATTTCTCTTGAGAACTCACAAGATGGAAAGAGGCAAGGCTTTCTCAGAAGGCAGGGACACTTACAGATTCCACTAAACATTCAGTGCAAGAAAACATGGCGCCCACAATGGCAAAATTTTTGGCATAGGACATTCCTCTCTGGCCCATGTCTTTAAGAACTTCTCTGGCCGTTGGTGTACGGTAAGGATCCTTAGGGTCAAAGCCCACATTGGTATCAATGCCAGCAGTGAACACCCCAAATGCACCTCCCAAGACAAATCCTAAAAATGAACAGAGACGAAGATTTCGTTGGCACATTTTTCAGGTTACTGTAATAGGGTCATACTCAAATTGCACCTTTTGGATGGCCACCAGTGAAGAGGATACCCCGTCCCCTTCTTGCCTCAGAAACTCTCCACTGACCTGGTTTCCACATTACAAAATCCAAGATCTATCTAGTAGGCAGCTTCTTCTCTGACTCTTTTTGTATTTCTTCCTCCTTTCATTTTCTAGCATTCTTCAAGATTCCATCTTTAACCCTCTTTCTCTCTCTACACTCTCACACATAAACCAGTCACCCTCAAGTTCAGGTATCAACTTTGCAAATCACTCCCTTGACAATGGTGACATTCATAAAAGTCATTCGGTAAATACCATATACCAATTACACTTTATTGTCCCAGCCTTACTTATTCCTTGCAGTAATCCTGTGAGGTAGATACTATTTTCCTTTTCTTTCTGTAGTGGAAGAAACTGAGGCTCAGAGAGGTAAACTAACTTCCCTAAGGTCACAAAGTTCCCAAATGGCAAATGCCACGCTGTTGTCCACAGCTGACCTTCCTGAACCTGCTGGACATTTCCACATGGATGTCCTTTCGCCACCTCAAGGTCAGTATGTGTTCAACGAAATCATGGGCACCTCCCCTCCAGGCCTCCCTGCTTATGGTTCCTGTTCTCCAGTCATTCCCGCGCCAAACTTCAGGTGCACTTATGGCTGTTTCTTTGCTTCCTCCTGTGAGGCTAGGTCCACAATTATCATCCTAGCCTAGGGCCCTCATCACTTCCACCCTGGAGCACTACAAAGACTACAAAGCATTATTTCAACAGACATGTAAGAGATCTAGGGTCGGGCACAATGATGAACAAAGATCCAGTCCATGTCTCACTGAGCTTCAGTCTAGCAAATTCCCTATATGGTCTCTCTGTCTACTGACTTTCCTTCCCTTTGCCACACTCCACCATGAGTCATCAAGCTCTTGGTAACTCTAAAAACCCATCAATGACTGCCCTAATGCCTACATGCAAAAAGCTCAACCTGCACCACTCCACCCCAACCTGAAATGCCATGTCTCTTTATCTACCCTCATTCTCTTAATCCTTCAAGACACAGGCTCCAGTCTCACCTCTTGTGGTCTTCTCCCAACCAAAAAGATCTTTCTTCTTTCTGCTCAGTTTCACGTTTCCACTCTCACTATATTCGTTTCTTAATTTCCTCTCATTCTCAATGAGACTTCAACTCACCTGCAAATGTGGTCAGCCTCTTAGCACACAGGAGGGTCACCTACATTCTCAATCCTCAAACGATTAAAAAAACAAAAAACAAAAACATGCCAAGCCCAGGCTTCTTTCCCCCTCGTTCCAGCTGTCCAGTCACATTGGGCTCATTGGCCTGTTTTTCTAGCCTGAAGTCACTTAAGGCCTAACCTTTGCAAGTTCTGCGCCCCAGGTCTGCAGCACTGTCCTCCTTCTGAACACTTTTCTTTCTGTGTATATTAAAATATTAGCTTCATGAGAACAAGGCTCTTGTCTTTCATTCTGTCTTTCCACCGCCTGGCACGTGATAGCCGCTCAGTAATAATTTTCTGAAAAGTAATTACTTTAAAGCAAACGAATGAATGAATGAATGAAGTAAACCATTTTATAAACCCCGGGTCTCGACCCAGGACCGAGTCTCTGATCGAATTTCCAGAGGCGAAAGCCAACCTCGGGGTCTAGGGAGGCGCTGCTCAAGTTCACTGAACCAGGCGGGGGTGGGTCAAGGTCGCGGCTCAGGGCCCCCTCCCCTCCTAGGTGCGTGGTCTTCTGAGCAGTGGACCCAGCTGCCGCCCAAGCGCTCAGCCTCCCAAGGGTCCCCCGGCCCCGCCTCACCTCCCACGCAGGCCAGCGCAGCTTTGAAGGCGCAGCTTTCCATCGCCCTCTCGATCATCTTCTGCTCCTCACTCTTGGCTGGACTCGGGATCCCGCCCAGGCTCCCAGGCTCCAGGAGCCGGGGCTGACGCTTGTCGCCCACCAAGTACTGCAGAAGAAGGCTGTACTGCAGCGGAGCTTCGGCGGAAGCCGCCGCCTCAGGTGCGGAGCCCCCAGCACTGGGGGCGGTCGCCGCCATGACTGTGGCCCAGGAAACCTGGCGTTCTTCTTCTCACAGCAGATTCCACAAGCTTCCCGTCGGGCCTTGCGCGCCCAACCACCGTGCCGCAAAGGCAGATTCGCCACACCGAGCGAGCTCGAGGAAGCCGCGGAAGCCGCGGAAGCCAAGTCAGTTCGTGCACACCCGGCGGAAGAGCTGTCATGTTCTCCTGTGAATACTGAGTCAGGCTTATGAGGCATTCCTAACGACACTGACAAAAGATTTCGAATCACCAGACAGCACCCTCTCCGCGGCTGCAGCGCGGAGCGTACCGGAATTTGTAGTTCTGACACACTTACACCCTAGACATTTCCCAGGAAGCCTTGCGCGGGCACGAGCGTCTCCGCCGCCTCTCGTGCTCCTGACGGGCGGGAAGGGCAGGGAGGCTACAGCGGGCCGGGGCTCCAGCAGGGGGTGCGCGCGCCTCGCCACTGCCTTTCCAGCCTAGTAATTCCTACAGTGTGTTGTGAGCTGCCGATGGGGTAAGGTGCTTTGTAAATTAACGTGAAAACGTGATATGAATGTATGGAGTAAATGTTTTATTCAGTAATTGAGCCGTTGAGGGGAGAGAGAAGGGGCCAAAAAAAAAAAATGAGTGAAGTTTAAGACAAAAAAGAAAAAAAAAGAACTCCCCTGGCTATCCATTGCTTAGGACTCCGCGTTTCACTTCCGAGGGCCCTGGTTCCAGCCCTGATCCGGGAATTAAAAATTCCTCTAGCCGCGCAGCCAAAAAAAAAAAAAAAAATTAGTGAAGATAGCCGAGTTTGAGTACGAGATGTCTATGGCCAGATGGAGAGCGAGAGAGGCCGAGGCTGCTACTCCCTCCAGCCAGTTGTTGTCAGTGGAGTTAACGATGTGGGACTAGCATTGCGGTGAATGCCACTTACATTATGCTGAATCAGTTAAAGTGCTTACTAGCTTGCAAACTCAGAACCTGGGGGTTAACTGTGAGATAGCAGCGTGTATGAACCCAGAAAACCTTTCACAGTAGTTTCTATGGTACCAAAATGGATCCCAAACTATTGTATTGATCCAGACTTGCAGCATATCTGGTTGTATCAGCTAAGAGAAACATAAAAGGAAACAGAAGATGGGGAGGGTAGCCAGTCAACAGAGACTGAGAGACCCCTTTGGCAGCCAGAGTTGTCTGTGTCACCAGGCAGAACCTACAGTTCACCCTGCTTCAGCTCCCACCAGACCGTGAACCCACTCATCCTAACTTCCCAGTTGTTGAGTCCAGATCTCATTTCACTCGAAGACTCAGCTGCATTTGCTGCTGTTGATGCATCATTGCTTTGAAGTTTCTTCCATTTCTGTGGAGCTCCTCTCTCCTAGTTTTGCCAAAGCCTCTCCAGTGTGTCGGTCATCTGTGCTGACACCTCTCTGCTTGACCCTTTCCTGTTGGGCCCCTTGGGGTTTCATCCTTTATCCTCACTCTGCCTGAGCAGCTCATCCATGCTTGTGACTTCTACTACTGCCTGTACTGCAGGATGCATGCATGTGCGTGTGTTAAGTAGCTTTAGTCATGTCTGACTCTTTGCGACCCCCTGTACCATAGCCCACCAGGCCCCTCTGCTCATGGGATTCTCCAAGCAAGAATACTGAAGTGGGTTGCCATGCCCTCTTTCAGGGGATCTTCCCAACCCAGGGATTGAACCCGTGTCTCTTCTGCTTTGTCAGGCAGGTTCTTTACCACTAGAGCCACCTGGTAAGCCCCTGTACTGAGCAGTGACTCCCAAATTTTCATCTCTAGCTCCGACACGAGCCTTCTCATCAGCCTGGGAACCAGACATTCCCTACAGGCATCTTTAACTCAGCACACCCTGCCAACAACCCAATTCTTCCAGAAGAGTGAGGGGCCCAGGGTTCTGATTCACGCAGAGGTCTTAAGAGCCAAAGTTGGATCTGAGAGGTTGGGACAGACCCCTAGGCAAGTCCCAGGCAAAGTGGCCTTCCAAAGCAAGGAACGATCTAAACAATTAATCCCTGGGATGAGTTAGAGAGCAAGAGTCAATCCCACAGTGAAGAGTCTGCATCAGAGTGCAGGTGAGATCAAAGTCAGCAAGTGAAATCAAAGTCACCTGCTTGCCACAACTAGAGAAAGTCTGTATGCAGCAACAAAGAGCCTTGCAGCCAAAGATAAAAAATTTTTTTAAAAGCTGTGGTACCAGTGTGACCATGGTGAGGCGGGGAGAAGCCTTTTCTGGAACATGGTGGCCTGGATAACAGGAGACACAGATACCCTGATCCGGTACCTCTCTTCCCCCACCCATATCCTTCCATAGATGGAATGGGTTTCACCTGATGGAAAGCTTGAACCTCTTCAAGCATATTCCACAAGTAAGAAGTGGTTTCCTATATCTGTTCCCCTGGCCTGAACCTTTGCCTGTACTCTAGGGACTTCATCTGGCCACGGCCTCATGCGAGTCCAGTCGCTCTCACATTACAGGTTGTCTGTTCTGGCCATGGGGATACAGGGTTGAGGCAGCATCTCAGTGGGTCAGAGAGAACAGGAGACACTTCATGATAAATGAGATTCACAGAGAAGTCAGAACACTCTGAATTGGTGACCCATCACTTGGACTGATGGGTAGTGGCACAGATGGGGAGGTGCCACACTGGAGGAGGGCCTGATCCTCTCTTGCCCTGGGTGTCTGGGAGAGCGTGGCTGGCCTGTAGTTGCCCCAACATGTCAGGAGCCCAGGAGTAAAAGAAATAGCACAAGTGGGATGGAATGAAGAGGTCCGAGCTGAGAAGCGTGGTGTGTCCTGTGTGAATTTGAGTTGTATGTGAATTTGGTAACAGCAATTAGTCTGAATAGTCCCGTTGCTGGTAGGAAGTCTGACCACATAGGTAACTGAGTAGCCAACTGAGTCACCTTGGATGGTGGGTACTGGATGAGTGACTTTGTATTTAAAGGGCTCTGATCCATGTCTTTCAAATTCAGAGGACAGCTCGGAGCTAAGGATGGAAATAGGGCAGCTGAGAAACTCATGGAAGAAGGTACTAACAAGAAGCGGCTGGAGCTTGACTGGAGCAGATGCTCAGGAACCCCAAGAAGGTGACAGTATCCACCAGCATCCCCAGGATGGCTTTGTCTTCATGTGAGGAGTGTAGGTCAGAAAAGAAATCCAAGGATATTTGAGAATCAAGACTTTGTATGATCCTGGACTTCCTTGATGGTGCAGTGGATAAGAATCTGCCTGCCATGGGTTTGATCCCTGGTCCAGGAAGATTCCACATCCTGAAGAGCAACTAAGCCCATGTGCCACAACTGCTGAAGCCTGTGAGCCTAGAGCCTGTGCTCCACAACAAGAGAAGGCTCTGCAGGAAGTCTGAGCACCACAATTAGAGAGCAGCCCCCACTCACCACCACTAGAGAAAGCCTGCTTGCAGCAACAAAGACCCAGTGCAACAAAACATAAATAATAAAATAATAAATACATTTTAAAAAAAGACTTGGTACAGTTCTGGCACCACCTGTCACACCTGATCACATAAGGCAGTGAGCTTTAAGAGAGGGCCACCTGAAGCCTGGCACACCTGTTTGGCTAGAGATTCTGGTTAGGAAGGAATGATGGTGAGACACTGCACCTGAGCAGAGGCTTCCTCTACCTGGGTGTACTGCCATATTGCTTCACTCTCTCTCGGCACAAAACCATCGGCGATCCCTTTATGCACTTGCCACCCTCCCCGAAGCCAAAGTTTTCCATGTCCTGATATTACTTTCAGAGATGAATGAGAAAGCCTGGAGTGCTCTGGGTTCAAGAAGGAACTTTCCTAAGAGGGGCACAGTAGGCATGCAGCTTTGTTGGGGCCTGGGTCCAGGCAGGGCAGGTATTATTTTTGGTTGTAAATAACTTCTTTAGCCACAGCTCAGTCACTTGTGAGCTCTGTTGATCTGCAAGGAACATCAGCAGGTAGGCCTCTGAGCTGACTAAAGAATAAGAACCTGTCATTGAATGCATTGCTTGGGCGTCAGTGCCCTGTATGGACGAGAAGAAGCTGTAGGATTGAAAGCTGGACCGGGACTCAGGTTGCTGAGGCCGGCCTGGGTTTTAGAGGGAAACTTCCATCCCTCCATCCAAGAGAAGAGACTTTGGCCCCAGATGGGCTTTGTGAGCAGTCAGGAGGCAGCACCAGTGTGAGGTTGGCAGGAAGTGCTTTGGACTGTAAACTGGGAGCGAAAGGACAGAAGCCTCTCGCCCCAGTAGGAGACCTCAGAAAGCAAAGATCAAAATAAATAATAAACACACTAAACCTCAAAAAAGAAAGAGCAAAGATCAGCCTGAACCCATCAGGGGAGTAGTTAGCCAGAGCGGAGGCCGGGGCGGGGGTGGACATCAGATTTCCAAATCAGGCTCCCCAGGGTCAAGGAAGCAGATCTGAAAGGCAGAAGAGAGGGTTCATCTAAGGGGGTGTGGCTTTTATCGTGCACCCACAGGCAGATCCTGTTATAGGGCTACAGGTTTCAGGTGGACCTGAGTTAGAACTTATTTTCGTCCTCAAACCTGCTCATCTTGAGCTTCCCACCGGGGTGAATGGGCTTCCATGTGCTCCATTAGTCTTAGATTCCATTCCTCCTGCATCTCCTATACACCTTTTAAATGTTTTTTAAACCCATCCTTCCTTTTTAGACTCAATGCTCTGATTTAGCCTCTAGTCAATTTTCTTTTTTTTTGTAAATAATTAGTAAATTTTTGGATGCACTGGATCTTCATTGCTGTGTGTAAGCTTCCTCTAGTTGCTGTAAACAGGGGCTACTTTCTAGCTTCGGTGTCCAGGCTTCTCATTGCAGTGGCTTCTCTTGTTGTAGAACATGGGCTCTAGGTGTTCAGGCTCCAGTTATTGTGACGCACAGGCTTAGTTGCTCTGAGGCCTGTGGGATCTTCCCTAAGCAGGGATTGAACTCAAGTCCCCAGCATTGCAAGGCAGATTCTTTAACCCCTGGAGCACCAGGGAAGCCCTCTAGTCAATTCTCACTTAATAATTGACTTAATTGTTGGGCATGCCTCCTCCCTTGGTCTTATCCAAACCATCCACAGGATGGTCTTTCAGCACCAAAGTGTAACCATATGTCCTGCTCAGAATTTTTCTCTGTGTCAGGGTAAAGTCTAAATTCGATGTGTTGCTTCTACAACTTGTGTCCAGGAAGACATATGCTTCTGTCCAAGCTTAGTGCTTTCTTGAACATTTCCATTTCCAGTGGTCTGCTTTCCATAATCTGTTTTGGATCTGGAAGTGGTGGCTCAGAATCATTCTCAATAATGTGTGGTCTTCAGTGTTTGTGAGGTAAGTTTGGACTTTAGGACTCCTTGTCATTTCTTTGATTTGTGCCCTGTTCTCAGTCAAGTGTAAATATCTACAGTATTCTTGACTGGAGAATCACATGGACAGAGGAGCCTGGTGGGCTATAGTCCATGCAAAGAGTCAGACATGACTGAAGCGACTTAGCATAGCACAATACATATATATATATATA